CTGTGGACCCCTCTGCAAAAAGTTTAACTTTTTGTGGGTGACATGGAAAACCGTTGACTTCCCAAAAACTAAAGTGATCCAACCCAATCGAGTCTTGGTCTCACTTCCGAACGAGTAACGAGCGAACAACGGGCAACACAAGTGAACGCGTCGTGTTGCTTATCACCAAAATGGCTTCTCCGAAAAGTGACTAAGCTCAATCAGGAGTGAGTTCTATTCTATTTTGGAGTGCAGGTGTTCCTGGCATTTACCATCTGCCGACAAACAGCGCCAGATGTGAATCACCGATTTCGGGTGACAGAACATGCCCGTTCAAAAACCGCCATCCGATCCTTTTGTGGTTGATTTCTGATTTGGCTGTGGCTCAAAAAAGCCGGAACCAAAATGGAACCCTGTCAAGTGGAAACATAAACCAAACCTGCGGTTTGCCCCAGCTGTTTAATTTTGAGCCACACCCCCATTTGTTGGGCCCTCTGCTTGACACTTACAACATGGAACCTTCTGTTCCGGAAGTTTGGAGAAACGCGAGAGCTCGTTGCCCAGGGCAGCTGAGTCACTTGCTCAAAACCCGGTATTCAAATGGTCGCATCCCCAGAACCATGCTTCAATAATTAGGAAGCCGGATCTCCGCCTTTCTATTTCTGGCGACTGCCCCTAACCTTCATCTACCCGACATCTCTACTCTTGGTATGGTAGCAAAAAACAATGTTTTTTGCAGACCCCCAGTAAAAATGAACAGAACCTAAAAACTAAAAAACAAAAAAATGCCAAGAACAGTGAAGCCAAATTGGCTTTGAGCACGTGGCTCAGCTGGACCTTACCCCGAGTGGCCCGTGGAGCTCCTTGCCCAGCTCCACGGACTCGCGGCTGCCCAGCTCCAGCACGTCCTGGCAACCGAACCGAACCGAACCGAACGCGGCTTTACGACGAGAAAAAAAAGTCCTCGGGTCTGGAGGGAAGAGCTTTTTGGATGGTTCTAACAAAAAGAGCAGAGGTCAACCAAAAAGTTGATTGAACTTTTTAGGAAAGTTTGCAAACGTCAACCAAAGATTGGCCAGAAAACGTCTAAACTTTGCGTTTACCACTACCATTCCTCCCACTAACATGGCACTTGTCGGGAGGTACCTGGAAGATCATTTTTCCTCTTGAAGGGACCCCATGTCAGCTGCCATGTTAGTGGAAGGGTAACATGGTGTTCTGCCCAAATACGCGAACAGCATTTTTTGAGGCCTGAAGGAAGTGTATGTGAACATCCCAATTTCCACTAAAAAATGCTAAAACGGGTGGTGCGCCTACCCCAAAATGGTACCATTGGTGTTGACCCACGGCCATATGGATGGCTCGTCCTGCTTTTTGAGACCCCTAGAATGGCTGGGCGGTGTTCTTTTTGATGTCCTTAGGCCATAAAAAAAAGAGAACAAGCCTTCAAAAAAGACACCCAGATGGAGTAGGCTCCATGGAAATCATTCATTTCCCTTGGGAAACCATCAAGTCTCTAAAACAAACGAGTCCTACATCAAACGGCTTGTTTGGATGTTATCCCTTTGGAACAAGACTCATTTTCTGGCGACTCGCGGGGCCCATCCATCTGGCTGATGTACCCAAACGTCCACTGAGATACTGCCGACTTAGAATTTCACTGCCTCTGAAGTTTGACCGGGGAGGGTTTCATGCATCGTTTCCGAAGCATGGACCATGTCAATGCGCCTTTTTGGCAGACGACGCTGAAACCCCAACGGAAAAACCCTTGGTTGATTCCACGCCATCGTGCTTCTTGGAACCAAAGAATCAACAAGTTCATAGTGGTGTTCTTGGCATATCCTCCCCAAAAGGACTCTGTCCATGAGCTCAGGGAGGGAGTCAAAGGGTGGAACGCTTTTTGTGAATACCAAGAATCGCCCCAGCTTGCGAGTGGAATTTGCAGCGTGCGCCAAGGGAAGCTACTGGACCCCTAAAAAATCCGAAGATTTCTGGGGGTTTCCCTTTAAAGGGGACCCACAAATTGGATCAAATAATTCCCCTCAACAACACACACACACACACACCCATCAGCAGCTTTCTTTGGCACACTCGTCTGGCCACCGGCCCGAAATTTACACCGCCCGACTCAAAATGGTTGATTGGTGGGGGATGAGCAGAAGCGTGGCTGACGTTGGGTTTGGGGAGCAACAATTTAAATCTTAGCAGTTAAGTGGTTGGATTTCTACTAAACCACAATAAGCAAACATGTAGAATGTTTCCCAACAACAAGCATGGAAAAGTGAACAAATCTCTGCCGACATCTTTTCAGGAACCCTCCAAATAGTTCACCAGCAACAGGCAAGTCTATTCATCAGAACTTGAGGTTTGGGCAAATAGCCTGTTCAAACATCTCTCCACATTAGGTTCGTGGTGCTTCTCCTTAAGAGGACACACCTGCACTTGATATACTATTCTAAAGCCTTCAAGAAGAATGTGACTTTCAATGACCAGCACTCTAGAAAACGAATCTGTGGATCTGCTGTAAAATAGTTACACAACCCAGAGGCTCCTGGGGCTTTCAATGGAAGACCCGACCCCTCCATTGGACACCCCGGAGGTGTTTGGGGGTCTCAAAACCCGGCTGTTTGAGGGCCCTAAATTGATCGGGAGCGTCTGGGAAGTAACAAAAGAGACTACTAAAAAAGGACCAGCAGGAGGAACAACAGGTGATATCCGCAAAAAGCGCATCCAATCTGTTTTCTAGCACCGTGAGCTCGTTTTTCGTTTTGCCGGTCGCCACACACGTACGCAGATTTTTGTTGGGTAGGAACCGCTGTTTTCTCCTGCACCAGGCGGCAGCCCATAGCATCCCGGGATAGGCGCCACACCTGCCAGGCTGAGATAGAGACTAGGTACTCTAGTAGAGAGGTTTAAAAAAGGGTACCCGATTTTTATCTGTAGTCTATTCGAGTAGGGGAACCCTCCCCCCAAAAAAGGGTACAAGGGCACTACTGGGGGACCTAAGAGGAGAGGGGTCCCTTTAAAACCTACCAAAAAGAAAGGATTGAGTGCTGTTTGTTTTCACGGGTCTGGAAAATTTCAGGGGCTCGAGATCCTTTTATGGTTGACATCTGATTTGCCTAGGGGCGCGCCTCTAGGGTCTCCTCCTGTCTAGACCCGGAGGGAAAGGTTCTGACATGTTCCGAGCCGTAACAACTCGCCCCCGTATCTGCAAGTGGATTCATATGAGTTGCTTGATCTATGGTCGTCTTTCTAGCCCCAGTCTTGTCCACGTCCACGTCTCTCCAATGGAGCACCTATCTGGCCATGCTGAAAGACGGCCTCTTGGCGCGATTTGGATGCTCTTCCGGTCGTCACAGCCGCAGATTGGTATTCAAATGGCCTACCGGCAAAACCATGTATAGAGGCGGCGAAGGTACCATTTATGGTCGGGATTATCCTTTACTAGCCTTCATCCACCCGGGTTTTGATTCTGGCCCACCGGTTGCAGGCAGTCTTTTCCAAACAAAAACCGGGAGAAACTTTTGACACCTCAGGAGGTATTGGAGATGGCAGGTGTCACTACTAGGACACCATCTGCCAGCTTCAAAGCAGCGTAAGTGCATGTTGTTTTTCCAGAAAAGTGGTGAAAACAATAGACCTCGCCCGCTTGCGAGAAAAGGGGCTTGCGTGTACTCACCTTGTTTATATCAAAACAAAACTCACTTCCTGAGCGGACTGGCCAAACAAAGCCACCCAATTTCTTGTTTACCACCAGAATTGCAACCAAACCCGAAAAGTGACTTCAGTCCGGCAACTCGATCGGGAGTGAGAAAGTAAACACAACAAGCCAAATCGCCCACTTGATTGTTGGCTCTAAAAAAACACAACAAACAAACACAAAAACAAAAACAAAAAAACAAGACGAAGACAATAAACACACACACACACACACACACGCACACAAAAACACTAACAACCAGAAACCCGGGCTTCCCCAAGCTCGGCTTTCCTTGGAGGCCAGCTTTCGCCTCGCCCCACGGCCCCAATTCTCCGCACTCAGCGGCTCGAAGTCGACGTCGGAAGTCGGCCTGGCCCCTGAGCTGGCGCAGGGCGCGCTCCGGGTTCTGCTTGAGCTCCGCCCTGAGCTGCTCTACGGTGAGCTGGCCCTGGTCCTGACGGCTGAAACGAAACGCGGCCTGGACTAAGGCCTGGAACAGGCCGGCGGGGGGAGAGGGGGGGAGGGGGTTCCCTAGAACAGATCCCGAGAACAAATCCCATACCCCTGGAAGGATAAACATACATTAGTATCAGGTTTAAACCAAATTCACAAAATCATGAACCACAAGTTGTTGCTGTTGCAGGTGATGGAACAAATGATGCACCTGCTTTGAACCCTGGCTTCCCGGCTTATCGACAAATCCCAGAACACACCCCAGGAACAAAAGGGAACATGCCGGCGGGGGGGGGGGGGGGCTTGGTAGGGGGGGTCCCTGCAAAGAGGACAAGGACAAAACAAATCAAGGTGGTTAAAAGCGGATTCTGTGGATGCGAACCCTGGACGCTGAAGAACCACAAAGAAGCAGCCGGGTTCGGCGGCAAGGTGAATGAAACTCGAGACACCTGACTGGTGGCGGATTTCATTTTCCTGGAACAGGACGAAAAATATCAAAGGGGTGCAAATTTGGTTCTAGATAAGGCTTCAAAGCTGCAAATGAGGGGTACAACTGCGGGGTTGGGGAAGCTTTTGAGCTTACCTTACTCTGGGTATGTGTGGTTTAAACAAGGCCCTTTGGAGGACATAGCTGAAATGAGGGTTTCTTCAGAATTTGGCGGTTTGGAGGTTTGGGGGGGTGGTTCCAATTTACCTCTATGAGAACCTGGGGTTCAATTCCCACCACCAACACCAATCCAAAGCACTAAACAGGAGTTGCCTGCAACATGTCTGGCGTCCTTTTGCCTTTCAAAACTACAACAACCTAAGCTGGGCACCCTCAACAGAAAGACAACCCATGGGCTCGTCTATTTTCATGTTGACGGATCTAAGTAGAACCCTAGAGGGCCAGAATCGAGCCAAAATCCCCCCCCGGCCAGCCCTTTTCTGGACCTAAAAGGGAAGTGGATTGTGCCTCAGAATGAAAAAAAAAAACCGGTTGCAAGGGAAGCGGATTGTGCCTCAGAATGAAAAAAACCGGTTGCAACGGAAGTGGATGGTGCCTCAGAATGAAAAAAAACGGTTGCAAGGGAAGTGGATGGTGCCTCAGAATGAAAAAAAACGGTTGCAAGGGAAGTGGATTGTGCCTCAGAATGAAAAAAAAACGGTTGCAAGGGAAGTGGATGGTGCCTCAGCATGATCCGGGGTTGACATGGGCCTCATGTGTATGAATTTGGGACTCTCCCGCCCCATGCCAGAAAGAATCACAGTAAGTTCGAAGGGTTCCAAACAGGTCTTTCTCAAACAACTCGAAACCTCTCCAAGTTGCTTGGGTTGTCTAAGCAGATTATCTACGGCCCGAAACATTGGCTTGTTCAGTACCTCCCACAGTTCTTGGGACTGCATACCAAGCAACGCCCACCTGCAAGAAAATTGCTTCTAGGGGAGGCAGGCATATGTGATTACTTGGGCAGGGTTGCTTACACATGGGATCATAAACCTCTGTGATGGATTTGGCTTGCTGCGTTTATCCAACCCAATTCTAGGTCCTGCAGTAGAGAGGTTAGAATACGGGTACCTTTTGTTTTCTGCAGTCTATTTTAGTAGGGAAACCCTCCCCCCAAAAAAGGGGTAAAAGGGCACGTAGCTGGGGGACCTAGGCTTAATTTACGGAAAGTGGCTTGGGGGTGTTCATATGTTCGAACAAATGCTTCACATGGGAACAAACCAATGGCAAAGCCTTGTGAAGATATTGTTTAAGCTCGGGTTAGGCAATATCTACTTCCTGAGTCAAACGAAGTCCCCCAAACATCTTGCTTACTAGGATGATCCAAGCCCCAAAAAGATTGAAGGGGAACCTGGCCTTGTCTTCCATTCGCTTAAGATTACTTTTTGCTCTTTATGTTCCCTTGTTGCTTTTAGTTCAAAACAAATATATCACTACTAGACATATTTCTTTTCCCAAGGGGGCGAAGAAGCAAATGGAAAATGTGGTTTCCACTAGTTCGTCCATAGTCGCCTCAAACAGTGATCACCTTTTGTTTCCGGGTCCTTAAGGGGCAACTGAGTCCACGTAAGAAACAGGGCTCCCTATACTTCCCCTTAAAACATCACCCCCCACTCAAGGGCACTCACCTTTCATGGGCGAAAAAGGTGATGTTTCTAGCCGGACTTGTTGTGGTCTCGGCACCAGCTCCGGTGGTACCCGGGGGGATTTGGACCGCCCCAACTTTAGTGGTCCAGCCAGGCCTCATTCTTTTCCGTTGCTCCATGTTAAAAACCACCAAAAAGGGAAATGTGAGTTTGTCTCAATTTAGGGCAAACCCAAAAATGGCTTTCCTTCAGTCCCCGCTTGCTAGGTCCTCCAGTAGAAAGCCCCAAAAAAGGAAATTGAAAGGGCACTACTGGAGGACCTAGCTTGTTTTCTCCAACCCCCAACTACCCCCGGAAAAAAAAAAGAAAAAGAAGAAAAAACACACACACACACACACACACACACACACACACACACACACACACACACACACACACACACACACACACACACACACACACACACACACACACACACACACACACACACACACACACACACACACACACACACACACACACAAGCGCCCATGTTCCGCGCCGGGGCCGTGTTCCCCTCCTTGGCGCGCTCCGCCGCCCGCTTGCGGCGCAAGCGCCTTGCCGCAGAGGCGCTGAGCCTCGCTTCCGCGGCGGCGTCTCCACACTGGCGGCAACGGAGGGGCGCGGCTCGGGGCGCGGGAATTTGGTCACCTTGCGCTTTGTTTAGCTCCTTCTATATTGTTTCTTCGCCAAACAAGTTGGACCAACAAGAAGTTGTTGGATCGAAAACAGGTACACAGTGCCTTGTGTTTTCTTTGGTTTTTTTTGCCAAAAACAGTTGGACCCCTAGGGAAAGGCCACTCAGGGTTGTTTCTTGAGGGGCCTAGGAACAAAGTGGCTGCACCTTTATTGCTGCTGCGAGACATGCAGGGAATGGGCAAAATGAATGAAGGTAGAAGCTGCCATTTACAAATGGAATAAAACTGCCAAAATAGTTGGACCAAAAAAAAATTTAGCCAACAAATTGAATGAATTGCTTTAGCCAACAAATCTGCACCCCAAGCAAAAGGCAACTCAGAGTTGCTTTTTTAGGGACCTGGGAAAAAAAGAGCGGACCTTTGCCAAACTTGCTGCTGCGAGAGATGCAGGGAATGAAGAATGGAATGAGCCTTATAAACCATCCATCTGGTGGTCCTTTTTCGTTCCCTCATTGTGTGCTGAGCACCAGCAAGTTGGTCAGGGACCGTTTTTTAGTTACCATGGACGTTCCGGGGGGAACTTTAAAACTGGGGAGGGGGGGGCTATCCCTCATTATGGCTTATCCTGGGATTATCGGGCTTATCCAGGGGGACCCACCCCCCCCGGGGGCCCATGATACAAGGTAGACTTCAACCCAGGGCTTGTTTTCTTTCAAAGGGGAAACTGCGAGGTGTACATCTATTTTGGGGTAGTCAAAAACGGAACCCTGGCTTTGGAAATTGCTCTTACCAACTCCAACTTGAAACAAAGCTTGGGGCATACAAGAACATCTACCTGAAGGAGCAGGGTAATTTGGTGGATGACCATGGCCACTGGCCCACGTCATGGTACGTCAGTCAGGTGCCCTGCCCAGTGTCGGTCTTCCCCAGCCCGGGGGCCCAATACCTTCCACGCTGAGAACATGAACCTAAACTTACAAAGGTGATGCTTGAAACCACACAACCGAAACATATAACCAGAAGGGTGTGCTCTTTTGAGCGCGCACTTTTTGGAAGGTGCTTTTATTGGAACAACCAACAACAAACCATCCATTTTGGGGGTCCCAATACTATGATGCATTCAGGCAAGCCAGTCTCCAAGTTGCAAACAGAGGGTCAGAAGGCTGACACAAGAGAATCGTCAATCTGCGACTGGCGACACATCTAGGCAATTTACAATAAATCTTACCTCGTCACCTCGTTGTTAAATAAGGTTTTGGAGTGTTCGCCTCGCCTCGTTAAATTCGTGGTCACCTCGTCACCTTGTCGCCTCGTTAAATCCCTCGTCACATCGTAACTTTGTAGTACAAGTCTAGCACGCGGATAGTTGCCTAAAGCGCCGAAAAACTTCTCAGGCTCCGAAAAGTTTATTTTGCGCCCCCGAGCCTTCCAACACCAATGACACGTTCCAGTACACTTCCACGCTCCAGCTCGAAAAGCTCAATTTTGCAGCACAAACCTAGTGCAAGAAGCGCGCTTCCACGACTCGTAGTACAAGCCAAGTACAAAAAAGTACGCTTCCGCAGCTCCAGCGCGAAAATCACAATTTTGTAGTACGAGTCCAGAACGCGGATAGCCGTTGGAGGCGCTGAAAAAATCGGAAAAACTTTTCAAGCTCCGAAAAATTTACTTTTCACGTTTGCGGCCGCTAGCTGCCTGCAGGGTCGCTTATTTCCATTCTGAAGGCTGGCAGCCCCGGATAGTGGTTCGCAAAGTGCAAGGCCTCCGGCGACAACAGTTGCAACCATTTGTCTCCACCACGACCCAACCGAGCCTGCTCCCGAAGATGGACCTGCAGCGCGTAGCGCAAGTTTGAGGTTTTCTTCTTGCCGTGTAGCTTCGCCAAGGAGCGCTCGCGCAGGTAATGCTCCTTCTGCTTAACGACATGAAAGTCGAAGGTCTCATCAAACAGGTGCTTGGCTTCATCCGCAAGAGTGTAGACCCGGAACGGGTAGCCCTTCACGAGCTCAAACTTCTCGGCAGGGAGCACGTCCGGGGAGTGCGCGCGGTGCACATGCAAAAACCGCTGAACCAGGCGCTTGCAGAAGGCCTCGATCCGCGTTGTGGGCATCGTTGGCTTCCCGCAGGTCCAGCGACCGCTTGAAGCGGTCGTGTGTAAAAGAAGCGAGCCCGCCCCCGCAAGCCAGCGGATCGTCACTTGTCCACAAGAACGCCACATCCTCCAGGAGAACACTGCCACAGACGCCAAAGAATGGATACATCAGCACGAAGGAGCGAGACCCGTCGAGAGTCACCCTGCGCCACTTGGCCCGCTCAAAGAGCTCCGTAACGATGGTCTCGTTCAAGCTCCCCTCCGCAGCCAGCCAACTGAAGAGCCGCTTTCCTTCCGTCAGGAAGCCACAGGCACGGCCAAGATTCTGCGGCAGCGAAGCCACCTTGCCTTCGCCCTCCAAGGACCCGGAGCCCAGAGTCATGTTCATGACGCCATCGAAAGGGTTCTTAACACCGTGCGAAGGGTTTGGGCTCTCCTGCCTCCAGCGCGCCGAGGCTTCACGACGAAAGGTATTTACCTCGCGCTCCACCTCATCCAGAGCGTCCTGGTACAAGCGGAGGAGGCCCGAAGTCTGGGTGGAACCGGGATGCAGCAGGAAAGGCCAGGTCCGGGCGAAGATCTGAATGGAGTTGATGGGATACAAAGCGGCGGTCGGTGCCAGGAACCCCGTGAGCGACAGCTCCACGACCGCCACCCATGGCCAGGGCACGGATTGAAGCTTGGCCACAATCTCCCACTCAGCAACTAAGTCGGGAAACAGCTGGCGCAACTCGTCCTCTGGAAATGCCACTGTCTCCAACTCCTGGAAGAGTTTGTTCACGAGGGCCTGGTCCCGCAACTTCTTTTGGCAGCCCCAAGCTTGCCAACAACAACGCCGCGTCCCAGTACAAGTGCGCTACAGGAAACTTGGGCAGCCCCAGCTCGCAAACACCAATACAATGTCCTAGTACAAGTCTGCTATATACATGGAATACAATATGCAATACAGTATGGTTCATTAAATTGAGCTCTCAAAACTATTCATTTTTCCGCCGCTATGCCGTTTCCAGAAATTTCGTTCCGTTTGTTCCCCACTCCAAACACACCTTGGAAAGGATCCTTTGCATTTCCGGTTGCCGCTGGATCCCAAATGACAGCAATGTCAGAATATCTTTCCATGTGACCCTGGCCAAAGGCAAGTGGCTGGCCTTTGTTGTGTCAAAGGCTTTGCTGAGGGGTTGCCGGAAACAATGAAACTAGGGGTGCTCTGGGAAGGCTACGGGAAGGCTACGGGAAGGCTACGGGAAGGCTACGGGAAGGCTACGGGAAGACTATGAGAAAAAAAAAACACTTTGCAGGGCCTAAAAAGTTATTTTCCCCAACAATCACCTCTGACCGTATAAAATACCTTTTTAGGCCCTGAAAAGTTGTTTCCTGCTGTGGGACCCTCTCCTGCTGCATCTACGTGTGCACCTCGTTGCTCTGAATTTAGTTAAATCACCTCGCTTAAATATTTGCTCCACCTCGCACCTCGGCTGACCTCGCTCTAAATTGCCTAGACACATGTTGGTCTGACTTTTTTCAGGGACTCACTCCCCCAAAAAAACATCATGGTCTTCCTTTGGCTTCCCTTCAAACCAACCCCAAACAAGGTATAAAAAAAGACAGATCCATATAAATGTAGCTGTGGCTCAAAATTGAAGAGCTAGGGCAAACCGCAGGTTTTAGTCTCTGGTTCGATTTTCCCAGAAGCTTTTTTATTTTTATTTTTTCGAGCCACAGCCATGTGGGTAACTCAAAACAGATCCATAAAATATGCCCAAAGTCATACTTGAATACCAAGCGTTTTCCTACAATCACACACACACACCATTTATGCATACATGTGGGTAACTGAAAAAGACCCAGCCAATTTGAATATAGGAAGCTGTTCCCTGTTCCGGCCGCGTCCGCTTCGGTCGAAAAAACGTCGCGTGCGTCGCCTCGCATGCTTCAGCTTCCGCCTCAGGCACATCGCTCTCCGGGTCCGGCGGCACTTCGGTGCTCCTGAGCTTCTGACTCGGGACATTCGGATTCCCTATCCCTTCCCGTTTTGGTCTCGCTTCCTATCTTCCTGAGTGGCCGAGCAAGTCCAAGTTTTGGGGAGCCCAAGAATTGATTTTGAGGCTTTTGGGGGGTCCAAGTGTCCAAACGGTGTATTGATATTTTGGTCTCGCTTCCTGTCGCCAAGATCTGATTTGAGGCTTTTGAAAAGTCCAGGCCCTCAGTTTTCGGGTCCATCCTAGGGGCTCCTAGGGAGTAGGTCTTGGCCCAAACAAAATGGCACCGAACGCCGAGCTGGTCTTTTTTTTGCCACTGAAAGGGTCTTCCCAAAAAGCTTTCAAGTCCAAGAGCTCGGGAAGTGAGACTGAAGTGAGGGTTCCTTTTTGTAGGTATTTCAAGCGCAATAGAAAAGGCGAAAAGGAAAGCTCTCTCAGAAATCGTGGAAACTGCATTTTTTGTTGGTGGGCATGTGAAGCGACTCAGAGCAGCTAACTGGTCTTCTGCTTTTGTTGAGATCCTTTTCAGGTCGGAAGGGACGCCGGGAGAACACGCTATGGGGCCGGGTCAAACATATGACACACGTGGCTCAAACATTTCACAGGGGGCGAACCGCCGGTTCCAGTCGCAGGCTTCCACATACCCTCCAGGGCGCCATTTGGCCATGGGTTCAAATTTCGTCCCACCAGTAAACATCCCAATCCCCACTAAAATAGATAAAATGGGTGGTGCACCTACCCCAAAATGTTACCATTGGTTTTGACCCACGGCTATTTTGGGTCAGTGTTCTTTTTGAGCCACAGCCTACTTGGGAAGTGACGTTGGAGAGTCCTGGGCATGTCCTTTTGGGGCAAATAGATGGGTTTCCCTGGTAGATGATTAAACCAGGTAAACCAGGGCCATCAAATAGATTGGTAGATTATTAAACCAGGTAAACCAGGAATCGCCATCTACTTTTCGACCAAAGCAACCAAAAAGGACACCTACGGTCCTGGGCGTCACCAAAGCGCTGCAGCTCACCTCCACCTCTGCCATCGCCTTGGGCGCCGCGTGCGGCGCTTGCGCTGCGAGCGCACCAAGCGCTCGGGGCCCCGCCGCCTGAGAGGACGGGACCACGCCGGGCATTCCGCCGGGCCTTGGCTGCCCGTTTTCAGATCCCGCGCTAAAAGTGACTAACTTTTAGTGGGTTAAAATTCGGAAACCACCACTAAACACAAGGCGAAAAAGCTCAGGAACCGGATGGTTGGGAGCCACGGGGCATGGTCTGCACCGGACCCTGGGTCGGGTTCAGTGGCTCCCAGCGCATCGGCCACATGAGTTGTGGGAAAGGAGTGAAAGTCGAAGTCGGTCCGGCACCTTGGCCTTCGGTCCCCTGTGTTGGGATCCAATAGACCATGTGCTCCGGCCACTGCATCTGGTTCGCGCCGGCCTCAGGATTCATCAGGGGCGTGCGTCCTTACCAGGAGTGCACAGCAAAAAGGATGAAATGATGAAGCACACGTCTTGTGCACCGGCGAAAATTGGAACCAATCTGACTTGAGCTGAAATGCAGGCCAAGATAACATGAGATACATGCCGTGTCCAAAGTTCCTGAACAAACACCGTCTGCCTGCTCGAAGAATATCAGCACATCCGCAAGCTGAGGATTCACAGACATCATCCGTCCCTGAAACTCTGCTTCAAATGGGGTTCAAACACGGCTGATTCGCAGCCGCTGAGCTGGCGGCTGTACGAAGCTGCAAGTCCGGTAGGCGTGCCTGCCGAGGATTCTGGCAATGGGTGTTGGTCATTGCCTTTACAAGGGCTTGTCTTGTTTTTTGAGGTATATTCCCCCAATGGGTGGTGTCCACTAGTATCCGGTTAAAACCAAGCCAGAAAGGTGTACATCAAAAACATAGATAAACCCAAAAATAAATCCAATGGTTCTCGACAGTCGCTGAGGGTTGATGGATATACACCCAAGCAAACGAGTTCTGAACCATGCACAAACTGCTGGGGAGGCGAGCAAACCAAAAGACAACAACTGGATCATTGAAGGGACATGAACTTAAGAATACCCTGGTTGGCTCTCCATGCAACTGTTCCGACTATGAAATGACATCCGAGCAGCTTCCCTCCCTTTTTGGTGCTTGGGTTTGGTGGTGCTCGAAGGGGTGGTGAACCCCATTTACCCACGACAAAAACCAGGGCTTCAAAGCCCAAACCACCAAGGCACCTGCGGGTAACCTGAGTCACAATCAAAACCCGGCACAAAAGCCATGTAAAGAAACATGTAAAGAATTAAGAACTATGTAAAGAACCATGTAAAAACCAGGTACAAAAATGGTTGGCCAGAACCATGCTTCAAGAATTCAGAACGCGGCGAAGGCACCTATTTATGGTTGGGATCGTCTCTTACCTTCATCTACCCGAATTGTTTTTGAGGGCGCGACTCACCTGACTTCTGCCAGTGAACCGTCAAGGTCAGCCGTGACGAATGCGGCGAAGCACTGGTGAGTTGCGGGTGCCCGCATCGTGAAGGCGCTTGAACGAGCCCAAAGCCGGAAACAAATATGGACTCACTCCGAACGAGTGGAGTGGTCAGAAAAAAAGGAAAACACTGTTTGCGTACCAGCAGTTTAAAGTCCAGGAACTCAGGAAGTGAGTGGAAGTCAAATCGGAAAGTGGGAAGTGCAAAGTTTACACGGGGCGAGAACCGCGAAGTGAGCGGCGAGACAAACAAAAAAACACGCGTTCGAACGGTGAGAAACTTTACTGGAGGGAATGAGTTGGAATGACCCCTATAAACCATCTATGGTTTCCTTTCGTGAATTCCCTTCCGATTCATTCTCAAAACTCGGTCTCGGTCATTCCGTACCTATCGCACCAAGGCAAGCATAAGAGGTGAGAGCTAAGCACCGAGAAGCCGACAGAGTGGAGAATAAGCAGTGCGATTCAGGAAGCAAATCTTCGTGACCTTCTCCCTCGTGCAAAACAGCTTGAGAACCCATTTAGGTTTGCTTTTTTGCTGGCACCCTTGTTGGTTCTTTTGAAGCGAAACCAACAGGAAAAAGCAGCCATTTTTTGGGCCCCTACAAAAAGACACCCCCATTGATCTGCATCGAGTACTATGATGCACCAGGCAAGATTAAGACCTACGTCAGAAACTAAGAGACCTTGATTCTTGGTTTGACGTTGGAAGGGGAGAAACAATTCAAATTTTAGCTAGTTAAGTGAGGATTTCCCACTAGACACAAGCAAACATGCAACATGTTTCCCGACAACAACCATGGATTGTGGGTCGCTTTACCCGCCCAACCAAATGCTGAACGACTGGGCGTTCGGGCTGGCGCAGACTTCAAGCCATCCCAGCCATCAGGAAATCTCCAGGCAGTTGGTCAAATACCCAGAGCTCACCGGAAAAATGCCAGGGCCCGGGATTTTCGGGAGGCTTCTTGAATATGGGGTCCCTTTTTTGAGGGTTTTGTTTTGTTGGATAGGTTTTAACAGAAGGACACCTACGTGAAAACCGTTGCTGGCCCAATTTGGGGGCCACCATTTCTTGGATAGGTTCTGACAAAGGAAACCCAAGTGAAGACCACAATTCTTGTGGGTCCCCTACCATTTTCTTCGATGGTGTACAGGGAAGAAAAACGGGGGAAACAAAGAACGGGAAAAGCGGGAAAAACCGGGAGACCCTGTGTTGCCATTTAAAAAAAAACAAAAAAAAAACAGCGGGGGAAAGACGGGACCCCGTATCTTTATCTTCCGCTCGCCAGTTCGACGGCGGGACCGTTCTGGTGCGGACGAGCTCCAAACGACGAGCCGAACGACGAGTTGAGTTGAGGCTTTGGCAAGGGCCCCACGGGCACCACGAGGCCGAAAGGCAGCTGCCTGCGCACCAAGGCGAAGCGGCGAAGCGCGGCCGGACGCGCGAAACCGGGAAGTGGCCGCGTCGGCGAGGGAACCGCCTTAGCCTTTCTCGTCCCGTTTTCCTGGCCCCTTTAAAGCCAGAAGGGGCAAATAACATATTCTTAAGCAAATGGAAGCTTGGAATCCCGAAAAAACGCAAACACTTGCCTCAAGTTAGAAGAGAGGCAAGCTTGAAGCGTAGTATGTAAGTGCAGTAGGGCAACTTGCTAACTTCACAAACATAGATTGAAATGTTTGGGCCACTACTTGCTGGTGCGATAGGTAGGGAACGTGGAACTGAACCGGTTTTGGGCTGTATTCGGGAAACCACCAGTTGGATGGTTTATACGGGTCATTTGCTCATTCCTTGCTGGGCACTAGCAAGAAAAGGACTCAATACGAGGTGGGCAGGTTTGGGGGTCTTGCACAAAAAAACTCACATGGTGCCTTCTGAATCCTGGAACAAACATCGGGACCCACTACAAGTTAGTGATGTAGGCGGAAAAAAGGACCCCGGATTACCCTCGCCCAGGCGATTTCATGGAAGCTCCGAAGCCTTTGCAAGACTTGGCTCCATTTACCGGGGCCTTCTGAGAGCTTCCATGTTAAGTCTGAGTGTATGACGTCCACCATTTCGGGTCCAACAATTCGCCCCATGTTCTGAAACGTCCACCTTTGCTTACCCCGAATTGCTACGGCTTCAGGTATAAGAGCCTTGGCGTATCCAAGCAGTCATTCTGCCCACATTTGATTACTCCATGAGGTTTATTTCGGGGTGTGATCCTGTCTGGTGAAACTTTCAACCCGAGGGTTCCATAGGGACGGCTGGAATGTTTGACCGTGGCCGTATCCCCCGGATTGAAACATGTGGTGTGTCCGAACCTGTCCAACACCCATAAATGCTGAGATGTGTTTCAGACCAGCCAACATCAATAAATGTTGACCCCAGATTCATAAGCCCCTGCTTATTCATAATGGGGTGTTCCTCTTCAAACGTGATGAATCCCAACTAAACCAGGGACACACCCCCATATTCATCAACAGGGGTTTATCAATCTGGGTTCGACATTACCAAGAATCTCCATGACCTCTACAAAATGGGGGCGTCACCCCTTCATTTTGAGTACCAAGCGTAAATAACCAGCCCAGCAAAGCTAAGGTCCTTCCGCAGTTTTTAGGTCAACACCAGTGGAAAGAACAAACGAGCACTCGCAGCCAATGAGGATTGTGTGGCGACCCGCCCATGGCTGCTCTGCCCAAGTCCAATATCTCAGGTACAGAATTAACAATCTTTTAACTCGCTTCCGAACGAGTGAACTGGCCAAACAAAACACAAACTTGCTGTTTATCACCAAAATCTAAGAATGTCTTCCCACAAGAATTTAAGAATGTCTTCCCAAACAACATGTATAAGCTTGTTGTCTATCACTAAAGTCTAAGAATGTCTTCTCAAAAAGTACACAGTCCATGCACTCAGGAGGTGAGGTTTCATGCCCAAAACCCAACCACCTGGCTGCCCGTAACCCCAAATCGAGAGACGGATCCGCGCCTGTTAACTGCTGCCATCCGCGGCCTGCGCGAATTGGTGGCCGTTGCCAAGGAATCCCAGGGCCTCCAGAGAGGTTAGAAGAAGTTGGCACCCACTTTTTTCTGTAAGAGAAGAAGTCCTGCAGCCTGGCAGTTACAGTCTAACTAGCTCCTCCAGATTTGAGAGGTTAGAATAAGTTGGTACCCGATGTTTTCCTCTGTTTGGTCGATTTGAGTAGGGAAACCCTCCCCCAAAGAAACGGTAAAAGTTGGCACCTGGGGGACCCTAACGGATCCCTTGACCAAAGTCTCTACGGCCGCAACGAACGCCCCAAAAATCGGCGCAACGGAGGGCCTGCAGTTGCCTTAAAACCACCAAATGCCCTACCCTCAAACAAAAACGCCTATGGCCAGAAATTCTCTTTTCAGCTTGGCATCACCTTTTAGATGCCACTTTTAGATGCCTTTGGTGAGTGATGTTCAATGGGAGACCCTTTCGGACTCACTCTGGACCGGTCCTTCTGCCAAGGGGCAAAGAAATCATGTGGACAGGAGAAGGCTTATTCAACTCACTTGCCCAGTTCGGACCCAGAAATAAAAGGTCATCACCTTTTGGGAATCGAATCCCTGAGACCCAGGGAACCGCCCCATCGTCCGGATTGATCCCAAGGCCATTGCGAACGTTGTCAACCTGATGATGTTCTGCACCAATGCTCTTTTTGTCTTTTCTTTTTTTCGGCGTTTGGCTCTTCGAACCACAATGTATGAGAGAAACTTCAGCCATGTTCCAATTGGGTGGGGATCTTCCTTGGCTCAACTAGGGTTGAGGATAGGGGCCTGGGTCTGCAGTCATACTGGTGGAGAACTCAATGCTGACACTATCCAAGTTGCGGAAAAAAAGAGAGACAAAAACCGACAAGGCCCAAACTAGACGTGGCCCAAAGGACCGAACGTGGTGTCCCAAAATTGCGGACATCAAACCCTGGGCATTTGCCTGTTTCAGGTGGCTGCATATTGAGCCAAGAACTACCCTCTTAAATGGTAGGTGGGTCAAAGAAATAACATGTTTTTCTGGCCATAGGAGTCCGTTTGGTAAAATAGATAAGTTTCCCATAAATCCTGTCT